GTGCCCTCTTCTGGCCTGCAGTCACATATGCTGTACACATAATAAATAGATAAATAAATCTTTAAAAAAAAAAAAAAAAAAAGAAAGAAAGATGGAATGGCCTTTTGAAGACACAGTTATAGTGCAAATTAGATGCCAGTAGCCTGGATGACTGGGACAAGGTTGTCCAGAAGGCAGTATATGCTTTTACTAAGTGTCCAATATATGGTACAATTTATCTGATAGCCAGGATTCATTGTCCAGGAATGAAGGAGTGAAAAGGGAATAGCTCCATTCACTATCACCCTGTGATCCACACGGAAAATTTTGCTTCCTATTCCCATGACCTTGAGTTCCGCTGGCCTAGAAATTTTTAGTTCCAGAGCAGGGAGAGCTCCTGCCAGGAACCACAATAAACATTCCATTGAACTGAAAGCTCAGACTTCCCCCTGGCAACTTTGGACTTCTGGTGCCTTTAAGCCTATAGGCTAAGAAAGGAATAACAGTGTGGTGTGGAGGGGTGGGGGGGTAATTGACCTAGATTACCATGGGGAAATTGGATTGCTTTTCCAGAAAGGAGCTAAGAGAGATTACATTTGAAGTGCACGAGATCCTTTAGGGCATCTCTTGGTGCTATGATGTTCTGTGATTAAAGTCAACGAGAAACTACAAGAGCCTAATCCAGGGAGGATGACAAAGGACACAGACCCAGCAAGAATGAAGGGATGGGTCACTCTTCTGGGAAAAGAACCAAGACCTGCTGAGGTGCTCGCTGAGGGTGGGGGAAATACAGAATGGGTAGTAGAGGAAGGTAGTCATAAATACCACCTAAGGCCACTTGAACAGTTACAGAAAGAGGGTTACAATTGATATGAGTGCTTCTGTTGTATTTTTTTTAAGAATGTGTTAGTACAATATTTTTCCCCTCAATTTCTTTTTTTTTTTTTTTTTTTTTTTTTTTGATTTTCAAGACAGGGTTTCTCTGTGTAGCTTTGCGCCTTTCCTGGAACTCGCTTTGGAGACCAGGCTGGCCTCGAACTCACAGAGATCCGCCTGCCTCTGCCTCCCGAGTGCTGGGGTTAAAGGCGTGCGCCACCATTGCCCGGCTTCCCCTCAATTTCTTTATTGTGTGATGTAACATCAATAAAGAGAACATCAATGGTTATCATATTTAAGTTTGAGATACTAAAAGAAGGTCCCTCAAGGGACATTGCCACCTATTCTAAATTTATAATGCATTTGCAGTTGTATGAGGGGTAGTTGTACTGTTAGGCACAGTTATAACCTGTTTAAATACACACTGTATTTGTGACTGTATGTGGAATGGTTATATTGTGTTTAGTCGTTACTATGACCTGGTTATTGGCGCGCCCCCCCCCCCCCAATTGTTTTCATTTGGAAATTAGTTGGCAAGGGGTGGGTTTGTGATGGCTTCTCTTGGTTGTCAACTTGACTGCATCTGGAATAACTAAAACCCAGAAGTGGGGGGCACACCTGTGAGGGATTTCTGCTTAATTTGAAGTGGGAAGATCTACTTCTAATTGGAATCTTTGAAGTAGAAAGACACACCATTCATCCAGATCTTTAGCCCAAATCTAATCTGGGCCATGTCTTCTGCTGGTGGCCTATGTAAGGACACAGAAGAAGGAAGCTTCTGTTCCTTTCCTGCTTGCTCTCACCTCGATATCAAGTCCGTTCCTTCACTGGCATTAGAGATACTTCTTTGGGATTCCACCAAATACTGTGGACTAGCTGAGACATCCAGCTTTGTAGACTGAGCAATTACTGGATTCTTGGACTTTCTGTTCATAGGCTGCAATTGCTGGACCTCAGACTGTAAGTCATTCTAATAAATCCCCTTTCTATATATAGAGGTTCATTCCATAAGTTCTGTTAGTCTAGAGAACTCTGGCTAATGCAGGGAGCCAGGGAGCATTTTTTTTCCTTGCCGGTGCCAGAGATTAAGCATTAGACAAGCGATCTAGCCCAATGAGAGACTGGGGGTTGGACAGACTCCCTGGCTGGCAGACAGGTAGGAGGCGGTGGGTTTGGGGAGGTAAATGAAGGTGGTGAATTTCCAACACAGCAGGCTTCTTCCTCACCTTCCTGACTTGAGACAAAAACCTGGCAGCTTAAAACAAAGGCCGTGTAGGCTTCGGTCTCCCTCCAGCAGGCCCCCAGTTGTTGGGACTGGCTCAACAAGTCCGAGGCTTGATCAGCTTGTTACCCAACAGCTGGGGACCAATCAACCATCCCGTCTTTCTCCAAACTGACCAACTCTACATTAGGTGGAGGAAAACTCTTTTGAAAAACTTTTTTAAAAAAGCCAGCCCTAAAAAAAAAAAAAAAAAAAAAAAAAAAAGCCAGCCCTAGAGAAGAGACGGGATTTTTGGCTTCTGGAGAAGGAGTCTCCCCCACCCCACACCCCACTTTGCAGGGAGCCATGTTCTCTGTGTGTCTGCTGCATGTGTGTGTTTCCTCATCCCTAGTAACTGTCTTTCTACAATAGTTCATTCTGTCTGCTGGGGTCTGTGGTGTTTGTTGAGACTACTCTGATGCTACCTGTTATGCTCAAGATTTTCCTTGCCTTTTAATTCTTTAACTAGCAGAGAAAATGAACCTATCAAGACCTTTAGAGTGTATCAGCTGCCCTACCCAAGAATATTTAACCTTGCTTGAAGGTCAGATTGAGAATTTTAATTCCTGTGAGAGATAAAACTTACTGCAGAGAAGGTGCAAAGAATTGTAAAATATATAGTATAACATTTTTCTGCCTTCAAGAACTATATATTTAATGAGTTCATAATATTAATGTAGAACATTAAATAGTAAGACATAGGAATAACAAAATGTGGCTATGTCATTAATTTTTTTTCATTTCACTTTGTGTTTGGGTGTTTTGTTTGCATGTATATATGTCATGTGTATACAGTGCCAGAGGAGGCCAGAAGAAGAAACTAGATTCCCTGGGACTCAAGTTCTAGGTTGTGAGCCACCATGTGGGTGCTGGGAATTGAACCCAGGACTTCTGGAAGAGCAGCCAGTGCTCTTAGCTGCTGATCCATGTCTCCAGCCCCTCAATCACTGATGAATGAATCTGTAAACGGTCTAGCCAACTATGATACAAATATACATTCATTTACACGCCTGTTTCTGTGCACAGAATGCATTCAATTTCTAACAATTTTCCTTTAAAATACAAAACTGGCAGTGTCAAATACTCCTAATCTGAAAATTCAGCTGATTATAACGTTTTTAAAAATCCAGGTCTTTTACCCTCCCTATTTGCCAGTCTCACTGCCAGAGATAACTGGTAGTTTGTGGTTCCGTCCTGAAACTCTATATCGCCACGCATATGCATGTACTTCAAAAGACGGGTATTAATAGTCCCAAAATTGACTTCTCAGTATTTCAACATCGCTGATCTTCGAACTTTGAACGCCTTCAGTATCAGTATATCAAATCCTAAAACATCGTAATTTAATGTTTATTGGTGGACAGATTATATCTCTTTTCCCACTGTTAAAAACGTTACATCAGTTAACAAATAACTTTCTACCTTCGTGCCAGGTATCTAGAATCTGGGTGTCTGGATTCTAGAAATCCAGCAAATCTCTCAAATTGTGTTTTGAAAGACACTGACGAAACGCTGTTAGGGTAAATCAAGTTTAAATCAGTGCTCTCAGGTATTAGCTGACCCACTATTAAACCCTGCTCTAATGTTTACAGAGAGTTGTGTGCTTTCAGCCATCTGCCTAAAGGACCAAAATTCTGTGCAAGTTTCTTAAACCTCTCAGATGTAGTCCCTTCAGAAACTCCAGACATTTTGGGATTAAAATTTTCATCCTGGTTCTCGCTAAAGGAAACAGACGCCCCAGGGCCAAGAAAGAATCTTCCAGGACAATAGGGAACTGTGATGCAAAAGAATCCCTGAGGAAGGCGCCTTCACACCGTTCTCATTAGCATGGGATAAGCCTGTTTTCAGTCCCATCCTGGTGGGGGTGGCTGGCGCCCTTGGCTGGTTCCCCGGGACGTGCAAGGAGAAGGAGTTGTTTTCCTCGCCGCCGGGTCCGCAGAGCCTCTGCGGCGCACACCACGGGTAAGTTCGCCCCCAGACGCCACGGCGCAGAAGCGGCCACTCTCCTCCCACTTCCCTGCGGCGGGGCGGGGCGGAGCAGCCGTGCCTTCCGGGTCGCAAGCGGAAGTGGGCGAATTTGAATTCTGCGAGCCGTTGGATGGGGCTGCGCCGGGTGGGCGTACGGCAGCGCAGCGCTAGACGCGGGCGGTCACGCAGCGGCCCTGGGACTCCTGCTCCGCGCCTGGTGAGGACACGGCCGGGAGGGACGGGAGGGTCCCCGGCACGGGTGCGCATGAGCGGTGCGAGCTTCTCCCTGCGCTGCACGGTGCACGGTGCGCGCTGCAGCAGCTCGCTGCGGGAGGTGGGAGAGCTGCCCTTTATTAATTAAAGACAGAAGTGGGGGCCCGGGCGGGGCGGGGGTGGGGGGGAGAGGGTTGCACGCAGGGATGCTCGACGCGGCTCCCAGTTGCTCCTCAGACTGGTCCCCGCACCGCAGAGAAATGACAGCCTTGAAATGCCTCGTGGGGATTTAAGCTGAAATCTGAGTATCCTTTGTGTTTAAAACCGGGGTATTTTTCTTTCACGCTTTGACATTTCTCGTGTACCGCAAAAATCTGAGCCTCTTTGCTCATTTTAACTGGCTACAGTAACAGCGGTGGCTCACAGATGTTAGTTTGCTAACAATGGGCATAGGGGTCTAGTCTGTCCGCCTGCCTTTTCGCCCTCTTCATTCATTGGCCGACTGTGTTATTATCGAGTTATTTTAAGAGGAACTCAATGTATCAAGAATAGAGATTTCAGCCGGGCGGTGGTGGCGCACGCCTTTAATCCCAGCACTCGGGAGGCAGAGCCAGGCGGATCTCTGTGAGTTCGAGGCCAGCCTGGACTACCAAGTGAGTTCCAGGACAGCCAGGGCTGTTACAGAGAGAAACCCTGTCTCGAAAAACCAAAAAAAAAAAAAAAAGAATAGAGATTTCTTAGAGCGTTTTTGTTGGGGTTTTCTTTTTGTTCGTCTTTTATGATGAACCGGACGCTGACAAACCCCGACAAAAAGCCATACCTTTTTGAATAGCTTAGATGTGCACGGTAAATGTAAACTTTTAGTATTTCAGATGTTTAGAAGTTCTTTATTTCACCTTACTGAAAATTGTCAGGTTGATTTTGTGCTCCGTAGAGAAAAAGATACATAGAGATCCTTTTAAGGTTTTAGCAGCTGGTTAATGTACCATCGAAATATATAAATACCTTTTTTAAAGTGGTACTAACATCCAAAATAAAATCAATTCTTCATCCTCCTCCATCCCTGCTAACCAGTGTTGCTTTCAGTGTACACCAGGAAGAAAAAAAATGAAATAACACGATCATTGAAATTGTTTTTCCGTAAGGCTGCCACAAAGGTATTGGCTCTCCTTTCCCAAAGATTGCTGGCAAATCCTCGAGCTTCATACATGCTACCAGCAAGTCATCAGTTTTAGATTTTCTGTATCCTAATGTGCTTTCGTTCCCAGTCTGTCTTTGTTTTTCTTTTACCTACATCAAGAAATGTCATACTTTATTGTGTGCCTACTCCAATAAAGGCTCCGTGAATGCTGATTCCTGTACTCAAACTTCACAGATTCTAACTTGGTACCTTGGTAGGTCTGGAAGGTGAACTTTTGAATAATTGCATTTTAACGGAAAAGTTAGAATATTCTGCCAGAGGTTTAAAAACATGGCCTTCCTAGAAAATCCTGGTAATATATTGCTTAAAGACGTGCAACTGGAACCAGACTTCTTGTTTAGCATTCCCATCACTTCCACCTAGTCACTGGGTGACCTTGACTGGGGAAGTTGTTAAGCCCCTGACTCAGGTCTCTTAAATGTATAATGGAGATAAAGCCTTACTTGTGGGATTATTGTGGGAATTCAGTGGATTAGTACATGTGTAATGCATAGTAAATGAGAACAGATGTCTAAAATACAGCTACTAAACATGGTACAACCGTATTATATGTATTTTCATTAACCTTTACAATGTATATGAGGTACCTACAGTCTTCAGATAAGTAAACAAAGATCCAGTAATTTGTTCTTATGTAACTAGTAAAAGTGAAGATCTGAAACTAGATTTAACTAAAAAATTAAATTATTTAGGGGCTGTGTGTGTACATGCTTTATGAAAGTCAGAGCATTGTGATCCTATGTGTAGAGACCTGTAATCCTGGGGATTATCCATTGTGAGAGTCATTTTTTTTTCTTCTCTGTCAATTCCAGGGGTCAAATACAAGTTCTCAGACTTGATGGCTAGAACCTTTACCAGCTGATCTTCTTGTCCTAAGATAAACATTTTTGCAAGTAGTTCTTTCTGTCCCTTTCTTGAGTCTCCAACTGCTATTCCATAAAATTTCCAATATATGGATGGTTCAAATCTCAGCTTTCTTAAACAACAACAACAAAAGCCCTTTACAGCCTGGCTGCGGACAGTCTGATTCCAAGCTCTGTTTTCAAGTGACACACACTCTATATAGAGCCATATTTGAGAAAAATTAAAGTAACCCCTGGAGAAATTTCAAATAGAAAAAGACCAATGTTTATTCATATTCATGACATATTAGCTGTTTTATATGTCTTTTTTCACTTAAGCTAGATAACATTATCTCTATATTAAGATAAACAGAGTTAACCAAAATATTTAATTTTTAAAATGTATTTTTTTATATCTGTTGCTATTTGTGAAAATGAATGATGTACAATATAATTAAATAATGAGTGAGAGAGAACTAAATAAACAGAAAGCTTGCTGTTCCATTTACTTACAAGCTTAAGACCTAACCATCTTGCCTACATTCTCTTCTGTAAAAACCTGTCCAATAATGTTGGGCCATCCTTCTAAAGACCAGTGGGTAGGCTTATCTGGAGCAAACAATATTGTACCATTCTACAGAGAAGATGGTGTATGTTTTTAAATCAGAGCGTGTGTCCCTGGCACAGTCTAGATTGTTCACATGGTTTCTTCTTGAATTCTAGAGTTGGAATACTACAAGATTTTTGTGTGTTAGAATGACGTAAGAATCCTGAGCAGTGGTCATAGCGATCCTGTGTGTAGAGACCAAGAGAAACTGTTTCCAGAGGGTCTTTTGTATATGAAAATCAGTACACACTGGTAACTTGGTTAGTTTTCCTTTTAATTTAAAGGGATATCACTAATATAAAAATTTACCTAGTAATTCAGTTTGTAAGTATTAAACTTCATTCATCTTAGGGATTTAGTTAAATGCATCTTAGTGATGATATTCTATTGTACAAATGTGCTACAGTGTTTAAATCTATCCTTCTATTGATGCATATTTAGATCACTTGTGGGTTTTTAGCCATTACAGAACAAGCTACTGGGACATTTGTATGCAGTGACTGTACTTTCATCCAATATTTGATAGACATAGTTTTACATTTAACATTTTCTAGGTAAAATTAACACGGAATTAACCATTGTTAGTATACAGTTCAGTGACAGTACATTTATAGTGTAAAGTCATCGCCTCTGCCTAGTTAAAAAAATACCATATCACAACAGGAAAGGTAGCTAAAGTTTTCAGCCTTTATGAGCCTCCCATTTCATAGATGTTATTAATTATGGTTTTCTATTTTGTTTACTTTGGTCAAGAGTGTCAATCAGATCATTTCAAATCAGATCATTTCTTTGAGTCTTTGTGACTCTTGTATTAATTTTGTTCTGTTCCTTCTGTCTGCCGCTTTGACACTTAGATTGTTTGTTTTTCTTATTCTTTGAAGTGCGTCATTGAGTTCTCTCTGCTTTTAATAACATAAGCCTGCATAGCCATGAACTTTCCTCTGCTTTTACTGCTTCTTTTTAGAGACTAGAGACTCTCACAGGCCGTGAGCCACTGAGCTAAAGCCGGTCCTGCTTTTACTGTTCCTTAAAGGTTCCAATAAGTTATATTTTCATTTTTACTTGATTCTAAAAACTTTTAAATAATTACTTTGAGTTCATCAATGAATGATCTAGTGATTCAGCTTCAAAATGTATGATTTCTGTAGTTTTTAGCTGTTGATTTTTAGTCTTCTTTCATTATGACCTGATTAGATACAAGAAATTATTTTATTTTTTGTGGGTTTTGGCATTCTTCCAATCTTTCTTAAGACTAGTCTGTTCTTTGTTAGACTGACTCATATACACACAAGCGAACTAAAGACGCTAATTGCTGTTAACCGTCTTTCCTTCGAAGGTCTAAGAAATCTTTCTTTTTTGTATGATTTCTGTAAGTATATGAATGGTTTGCTTGCATGTGTGTCTGTACACCACATGCATGCCTGGTGCTTATGGAGGTTCCAGGGTGTGTTGGATCCCCTGGATCTGGAGTTAGAGACAATTGTAAGCCACTTTGTGGGTGTTAGGAACTAAACTTTGGGTCTTCGGCAAGAGCCGTGTTCTTAACTGTTGGCTGTCACTCCAGCCCTCTAACAGTCTTACTGCATGTTAACAAAGACCTTCTTGTTTGTTTGTTTTTCTAGAAATATACTGTTTTTTTAAGACAGGCTCTCACTATGCAGACGTGGCTGGCCTGGAGCTCACTGTGTAGACCAATCTAGTCTTGAGCTCACAGAAATACACCTGCCTCTACCTCTTGAGTGCTGTTACAGATGTGCACCTCCTTGCCCACCAAGATGGACTTTCAGAATTCATATTTAGATCTGTAATCCAGTTTTTGTCTTTTGGTGAGATGATATTAGCAAGCACTAATCACACAATTCAGGGCATCAGGCCTTGCCTACTGAAACATCCAAGTGAAGTGGGAGTAAGCTGTGGGAGAGACTTAGAGAACTCTTCACTGTGGCCTTTTAGAACTTAGATTGTTAGTGATTTCTCAAGGAAGGAAAGAGTTTGACGTTGTTATTTCTGAGACTGATACTATGAGCGCTATTGAGGTATGTAACTTTAAAAATATGTGGGGCCGGGCGGTGGTGGTGCACGCCTTTAATCCCAGCACTCGGGAGGCAGAGCCAGGCGGATCTCTGTGAGTTCGAGGCCAGCCTGGTCTCCAAAGCGAGTTCCAGGAAAGGCGCAAAGCTACACAGAGAAACCCTGTCTCGAAAAACTAAAAAAAAAAAAAAAAAAAAAAAAGAAATATGTGGGTAACTTTTTTGTTTGTTTGTTTTTGCTTATGTTTTATTCTGTAAACTTGTTTGAAATGAAGGGATCGCAGATGGGCACGGTGGTGTGACCTTTGTAATAGGTAGTCTGAGGCAGGCTTGCAAGTTGGCTGTCCCTTTGTCAGGAAAGGTGAAATAAGAGCATTTGCCTAACATTTAGGGTGCCTGGGCTCAGTCCCTAATATGAGAGGGAGATCCTAAATCTGGACTTTAAAATGAAAAGCTTTTTTCAAAATCAAGGCGCTAAAAAGTCTAATGTTAAAAATATGAGCTAGAGCTGTATGTGGTTACCATACCCTTAATCCCAGTACTGGGGATGCAGAGGCAGGGGGATCTCTGGGATTTCAAGGCCAGCCATGGCTATAGTAAAACCCTGTCTCTAAAATAAAAGTATAAACTATAGGAGTGATAATATTTGGGTAATTGTTTTTATTTCAATCCTAGAAGGAAGTCGCAGCATAAGAAAATAGTGTAAGCTACTTGTGTGTACCCTGTGTCTTGAGTCAGTGCGTTTTTTATCATTTACATGGACGGGCTTAAAAACACGAGGAGTAAGCCTATAGTTGGATAAAGCTAGGTATACTGACTGCAGTGAAATTACAGAGCAGAAGCCAACAAACCAAATCAAATGACTGTGAAAGTTCTCGTCTACCCCAGGGTACTATTGCACATTTGAGTCATGGCATAGATATGACTTGAAAAACTGATGTTTGATTCTGACATACACTGGATAATCTTAGGCTAACCAGCAATGAACAGGAAACCTCAGACAACTTTTTAAAAAAATTTAAGTAACATGGTTGTCTGTATAAAGAATTGGTCAGACCTTTATGACATCATTCACCAAGAGAGATTCCTTGAGTCATTGTAGTAGGAAAAGGCCAAGCGTGTGTAGCCGTGGGGGGTCTCTTTATAAAGAAAATGTATTCTAGAATGCATTTTATTACTGTAGTCATACATACCAGTCACCTCCAGCAAATAATGATTTGCAATACACTGAATAATACGGTAATGTTACTCTCAGAAAACTTGCCAGAGTCGTTTGTGTTGTGAACCTTGGGCATTATTTTATGTTATAATAAGCCCAACAATTAGCAATAGCTAGATATCATTAGTCACAGTTGGGACAGATAATGTAAGTATAAGGGGACTTTAAAATTTTATTTTTATTGATTTTACTTTTTAACCAATACTTTAATATTTATTTAGGAATATGGAAATCAGGCAGTTCTCTGTGTAGGACTTTTTGGTGCGTTGCAGGGCATCCCACAATCCTAATATTTGTTTTAATAATTAAATATTCTTTCCAGTGTTAAAGAAATCCTCAAATTCTACCACCCTTCTTAAACTCTATTTGTTCAAAAAGTGAGGAAGTTAACTACTGTACTGTAGTATGAAATGATTTTATATGTCTTGACTATATTCATATACTGACTGAATTTAAGAAAAATGGTTAGAGATTTTTGAAATTAAGATATTAATGTTCTTGTTTTTCCTAGTAAAATGAACAAAAATAAACCTGATAACTCAAAAAGTCTTGGTAAGTAACTGTCTTTAAAATATTTTTATTACAATAAAATCCATTTAGAATGCTACCCAGCCAGTAAGAATGAATGTTCTGATGCATGCTTAGTTAATATGTTCTATTATGATTGTGTTCATTTCCACAAACTAAATTTGCTGTCAGAAGACATTTTGTCAAATTTATTTTTGTACATTTTATATGGTTTATTAGATAGGATTTGAATCTGAGAAAATTATTGTTTAATTTTTTCATGGATTTTCCTGTGATAAATGAAGATAATATAAGCAATAGACAAAAATCTAACATGAAAAGGAAAGTTTCTAAGTTTAAAACAGTCTCCTGTTGATACGTAGTTGTTTTCTTTATTATAAACAGTGTCTGTTGACTTGCTACTGTGAATGATGAGGAATCTGCATCATTACTGTATATACTTGTGTCCCTGTGCTACTCCCTCATTTAGGTTTGTGGGCTTTTGTGTATTTGTTTTGTTTTGAGACAGGGTCTACTACACTTGTCCCTGACTGGCCTATAGCTCACTATGCAGACCAGGCTAGCCTTGAACTCAAAGAAATCCACCTGCCTCTGCCTCCTTTGTGCTAAGAGCAAAGGTGTGTGCCATCTTTTTTCTTTTTTTCTTGAGATAGGTTATTTCACTAAATCTTGAGCTCATCCATTTGGCTCAGCTGGCTGGCAAGGGCTCCACCAGTTTCTGCCTCCTGTACAACTAACTGATTCTGGCGCTTTATAAGTAGAGATTCCAACTTAGGTCCTCATGCTGTGTGATAAACGTTATTCCAACCAAGCTGTCTCCCAGTTACTCTTAGCATTCTCCCGACAATCACTTTAATGTATCTGTCGACTCTACCCTTGAACAAGGAAATTTGCTCCTACCAATCCCTCTACCCCCACATGCCTTTGTCTTGTTATGCCTCCTGAGTTATATCAGCAATGCCAGTAGTTTGGAAATTATAGTGATTTATGTAATACCATTCTACACTTGCTGAATATACCCTTATTCCAACTTAATTTCCCCTCAGATAGATGCCTCTAGTTTTGTTTTTTTTTTTTATTTAAATCAGTGTGCTTAATAGAAACCAGTATTTGTTCTGGTAGAAGGTAATTTTAACAGTAAATATAATGAAGTAGAACAATTTTACTGAATCTTAGACTGCTATAAAAATGAATACTTAAGGGAGTATCTTGTGCCTTCAGGGCCCTTATTGATTCAAGGTCTTTTAAATGTATTGGATCTGAATGCACTTCAAGGCCCTCCAGCAGTCAATGTTTGTTTTCTTGGGTCTGTGAGCACGGCTGTGTCCATGGGTGCACCCCTGACCCCTATGTTCTGCAGTACATGTGTGAACTTTTAAGACCTTACCCCCCTATATATCCATTCTTCCCAACTTCTTTCCTAGTTTTTTTGGTCTGACAGCTGCTTGTCCTAGACTTTGCAGCTACTGTTTTTGTTTTAATCTGAAGAGGATTCTGATGCTGGCCAAACAAACAAGTATTGGACCCCATCCCTTAGGGAGCTGCTACATAGATCAAAACAATATCACATTTATTTGGGAATGAGGTCTAGATGACTTTCTTTTGGACTAGCAGTCTGTAACGGTAGACATGAGCCACCCAAGGCCCTTGTCCAGCTAGACAGAATCCAGCAGCTGGGGATTTGCAGCCGTGGGTATAGTACTTGCTATGGTAGTCTGCATGTTCAGATGTCCAGAACACACGTGGAGCTGTGCCTGGTGGCACATCACTGTACTCCGTGAGGCATGGACAGGGCACTCCTGAGTCAGCTTGCTGGTGTCTTAAACGAGCTGGAAAGGGAGTGCTGAAACACCCGAGGTTGCCCTGTGACCGCCATGTCTGTACCATGGCCACCATTCACACGCACACACATCAGAGAAGCATGGATTCCATAAGTTGTTTTGTGATTTTAAGATATATTTTACATTTATCTGCTTTTTTGCTTTTAGCTTGTGTTTTCTGTCGAAAAAACGATGACTGTCCCAATAAATACGGAGAAAAGAAAACTTATGAGAAATGGAATTTCAGTGTCCATTACTACTGTTTGGTAAGTATACTCTAATCTAAGGGGTATTCTAAAGAGAAAATGACACTAATTTCTTAGAATTAGATAAATCATTTAACTTCTGAATCTTTTTTCCTTCTCTATATAAAATACGATTTTTTACATCAGATTTTAAGCTTCTGCGATTACTTGGTGCATATAAAGACTTCTATGTTTTTATCCAGCTATTTAAAAAGACCCGTTTTTATCTAACAGAGAAAATGGTTAGCTCTCTCAGGGGAGTGCCCTTTTTACCACTTTTTTGTTTCCTTTGTTGCTGCTGCTATGTCACAGAACAGACTTGTTTGACGGTTCAGGGAGCAGAAGAAAAGTATTTTATTTCACAGAGCACCTGGAAGGAAAAGTTCTGGCCGAGGTTAATATTAGCAGAAAGGGAACAGGCGATGGTCTGACTTGCTCAGGAAAAAGCAAAGAAAGATCTCACTCTGGATTGCTTCCCTGTATTTCCTCCCTCTGCTGCCCCCCCCCCCCCCCCCCCCCCCCCCCCCCGTTCAAAGAATCCGAAATGGGACAAGTCCCTGGCGCGATAGACCGCAGCGTGCTAAGGCTGCATTAGTTCCCACTGTGTTTGAAACCAAGTTAGTTTTTTATGGCTGCTATAGAAATTATTCTGAAATTTAACAGAGGAAAGCAACATTTATTCTCCGAATAGTTTTGGCTGAGTTGTTAATGTGACTTCAGTTTAGATGTCACCAAGATACATCTGAAGGCTTTACTAAAAAGCTGGAGGGCCTCCCTGCAGTGGCTTGCTCACATGCGTTCGCCACAGTTCCTCCTTACTTCCTAGTCTTCTGAGAGGGACTGCTCACAGTATATTATCTGGTGGATATCATCTGGTATCCCTCAAAGTAAATTATGATGGGAAGGGGACACCCTAGATGAAACCATCATCTACCAGGTTTCACATATCATTATCACTTCTGCTTTATTGTCTGTGTTACAGTGGACTTAATTCTTATCCTGTATTAAAGGGGAAGGGAAATTAAGCTCCACTTCTTGAAGGAGAACCAATAAATTCATCAACATATTTTTAATCCTGTCATCCATGCTATTGAACTTAGTTCAGCACTTTCCTGGGGAATCATCTAAATTATTCATTGGTAATATCCAAGACAATGGTTGTTTCAGATCCGAGACTTTGGTCCTTTTCCTATGATAAAATGCCCTGGACAACTCAAAGGAGGCAGACTTTGTTCTGGCTCCCAGTCCAGCCAGCCACAGTCTGTCCTGGTGGAGAAGGCACAGAGGTTGGGCTTGAGCAGATAAGAAGCAGAGAGCAGAGAACACATACACAGTGCTCTGCTCTCCCCAGTCCTAAAGTTCAGGATCCAGCCAGAGAAGGGCACCACTCACAGTGGTGCCCTGGGGTCTTCCCACCCCAGTTAAAGCGATCTAGAAAATCCCCCCATTGACACACTCAGGTCCTGTGGCTGACAATTAAGAGTATTTAACATTATATCTACGAGTTCAATATACTTGTAGAGTAGTCTAAGAATCTAATTATTCCATAATGTGCACACAAAGTTGGCACTGGAGTCTGTTTATTGTAACAAAAGAAATTTCCACTTAACCTTTTATTTATTTATTTATTTATTTATTTATTTATTTATTTATTTATTTATTTTAATGAAGACTTTTTAGAATTGCTCCTGTTAGTCGATAGATGATTCCTTATACCTGAGTCGTAGACAAATATGTACTAGTTGTATTTCAGGATATTTTTGAGACTGAAACAAACTTTATTAATTGCAACTCGGCTTTTATTGATGTGTTGTAGTTATTTAGCATATTTAGTAATATTAAAGTTTTATTTATAGTCTGTCTTTTGATATACTACTTCAGAAGAATACTGTCCAGTCACTGTTGTATTGCTGTGAAGAAATGCCATGACAAAGGCAACTCTTACAAGTGAAAGCGTTTAATTGGAGGCCTGGTTACAGTTTCTAGGTTCAGTCCATAATCATCATGGCGGTGTGTGTGGTGACAGGCAGACAGGCTTTTGCTGGAGAAGTAGCCTGATCCGAAAGCAGAGACACGGCACTGGGCATGGACTTTTGAAACCTCAAAGCCCACCCCCAGTGACATACTTCCTCCAGTGAGGCCACACCTCCTAGTCCTTGTAATCTTTTCAAATGGTTCCACTCCCTGGTGACTAATTATTCAAATATATGAGCCTGTGAGGGCCATTCTTACTCAAACCAACATAAACACTGACCCCAGACTTAGCCTCATTAATTCCAACCTGGTTTCTTGGAGTGTATTTCCTAATTGAGAATTATGTTCATAGTTAATGTCAAGTGGAATTTGGCAGAGAGGTAAAGAAGAAGAAGGAGTTTATGGCTTTCTAGTAGAAGACATCAGGAAGGAGGTCAACAGAGCTTCTAAACTGGTAAGTACTTGTTTTGTTCATTACACAAAGTACTACAGATACTGCTAGTGTTGCCTTGGGAAGTTTCTTCTGTCAATTCCTGTACTAGAAACTTATGACTATGTTGTTCTGTTAAAACAGGATATTTTTATCAAATATAAGTTTTAATAAACATTTTTATATTTGTGCAGAAGAGAGTTTAGCCTATACTGAATGAAACTTTTAACAATAAAAAACTCTCATCTTTTTCGTCATTTTATTCACTTTTGGTTTTATTTCTAGTTTTTGACGTTGGCCCACACGCTTTGTTCTTAGTCTCCCTCTCTCCCTAACCACTTCACTTGTCTGCTTTCAGTTATTCCATTAAAATTATTTGATTGGCATGTGTTAATTATGCACACCGAGTCACATTATGGAATTTTGGTACATATATAATGTATTTTATTGTGTGTGCCTCCATTTTTCTCTTACTCCTGTGGGTCCCTTTTCACCCAGTCCTCTTTTACTTTCATGCTCACTCTTAATCACTTTTTGATGACCTACTGAGTTTTATTACGATTACATAAAGCCTCCTGGGTAAAGGTTTATTTACAGGAGTTTGGGCTCCTTACCGTGGTAATACCACGAAAAAAAATGTCCCTCCCCCAGTAACCATTAACTGCCTGTAGATACTCAGAAACATATGGGGCCTCTTTACCCTAAACTCCCTAGCTGCCATTATCTGCCTAAACAACCTAGGGTCGTTGGAGACCTGTGACCTCTTCTCTCACACCATGATAGGAGGTTGGCAGGCCAATCTTAAGGTACTTTTGTGCTGATGGTCACAACTGCTGTGCAAGTGTACACAAGAGTGCCATGTTCCAGAGGCACCATCTGCCACTCTCCTCCATCTGGGTCTTCTATCCCCCATTTTCTGTGATGTTCCCTGAGCCTTGGAGAGACTAAGACAAGTCACATTACGATTGAACACTTAAGGTCCCTTATTAAGACTCTGCACTCGCTGCTCTTCCAGAGGTCCTGAGTTCAATTCCCAACAACCACATGGTGGCTCACAACCATCTATAATGAGATTTGGTGCCCTCTTCTGGCATGTAGGCATATATGCCAGAACACTGTATACATAATAAATAAATAGAAATTTAAAAAAAAGACTCTGTGCTCCTCCCACAATGATCTCTACTTATAGATCCTGTCTTAGTTAGGGTTACTATTCCTCTGATGAAACATGACCCAAAGCAACTTGGACAAGAAAGGGTTTGTTTGGCTTATTCTTCCACATTATTGTTCATTAAAAGAAGTCAGGATAGTAACTCAGAACAGGGCAGGAACATGGGGGCAGGAGATAAGAATGCAGGAGCCTTGGAGGGGCACTGCTAACTAGTATGCTCCTTATGGCTTGCCCCAGCTTGCTGTTTTTATAGAACCAAGGATCACCAGCCCAAAAGTGGCCCCACCCATAGTGGACTGGCACCTCCCACATCAATCACTAAGAAAATGCCCCACAGGCATCTCTAGAGCTTGATTTTATGGAGGCATTTTCTCAGTTAAGATTCCCTCCTCTGTAGCTTGTGCCAAGTTGACATAAAACTAGCCACCCAATTCCTTTTATTTCTTTCTCTCACACACACTAAAATGAAGGATTTGCATGTAAGAGAAAGCATGCTAGAGTATCTATTAGGAGTGGTTTGTTTTGTTTAATGCGGTGGTTTCCATGTCGATCCATTTTTGTGCCAATATTATGATTTCACTTTTTTATGGCTGAATAAAATTGCAGTGTGTATATATACCATAATGTCTTTATCTTTTGATGGATATCTTAGCTATTCTGAGTAGTACAGAAATAAGCATGAATGATATTATTCTCTCATATCAGAATTTTGACTATAGTTGAGTTCTGCTGATGGACAGGCCTTTAATAGTCTACTCGCCCATGTACTTGAGTCATGTGCCTCGGTTACTGAGATTGACATGAGGGGTTAAGGTAGAAATTACACAGCTGTGTAGACTGGTAATTTTTTTGTCTCTGTAATTCAGAAACTCAGAGGTTGTCACAGAAATGCTGAAGCCACTTAGATTAATGACAAGAGTTAAAAGTACAGAGAAAGCCTTTGACTTGGGTTCCAAAGTCTTGAGATAGGGGGACGAGTGGGTTAAAAAAAAGGTGGAGGTGAGGAGGGCTAGATGTTGTTCGTCATGAACAACTGAGTTGTTTTTCTTTAACTGAGAAGATAAAAAGACTTAGCTCTGCAGTCTCTAACAGAGCTAAGCAGTATGTTTCTCCCTGCCACTGTAGTCCTGTTCTCAGTGTGTGCAGATGGGAAAATAAAGCAGCAGCATTCAAGCATTTACTTTAGTGGAGAGTGTCACTTTTTTGGGTGAGTGGTTAGCATAAGGAGAGTTCATGGTGAAATAGAGCCTTGAGGTTCTCCAGGATTCCTCCTGTGGCCTGGATGACCCATGAGTTAGCAGTGAGACTGTAATCCCTGAAGCAGGGACTGTTACAAGGGTTCTGAGGTATGTTTGGGTTCAGGTGTATATTCTAACTACTTTTTCTGTGTGTGCCACGGTTATGGTTAGTGACATTGGTCTCATTTCCTGGGGCTGACATAACAAATTACAGAAATGTAATCCCTCACGGATTTAGAGTTGGGTGTTATAAAGCATAGTGTTGAGAGTTGGATCCTGCTAAAGATCATGAAGTGAATTCCTCCTGTACCCCCTCCCACCTGATGGCTGCTGCTAGCTTTTGATGTCCCTTGTTTACAAAAGGGTCTTCTTTTGTCTTCACATGACCTGTTTTCAGAGTGTCTTGTGTTTTAAATCTGCCTTATCTTTTATAAAGACACTAGTCAAAGGAGACCTTGAGACCCTGAATAATTACATCTACAAAAACTGCTTCCACCTCAATGCACAGACACTGGCTTTTTCTGAACTTTAGCACCCTTAGGTGACCACGCCAGTCTGCTTCCTAGTGCCGTAAGAAACACCATGACCAAAAGCAACTTGGTGAAGAATGGTATAGTTTATCTTTTGGTTTTTCAAGACAAGGTTTCTCTGTGTAGCCATGGCTGCCCTAGAACTTGCTCTGTAGACCAGGCTGGCCTCAAACTCAGAGATCCACCTGCCTCTGCCTCCCAAGTGCTGGGATTAAAGGTGTGCACCACCATGCCCAGCTAGTATATTTTATCTTACATTTCCATGTCACAGTCCGTCATTGAGGAAAGGAACAGAAACCTAGAGATAGGAACTGAAGCAGAGGCCATGGAGGAACGCTGCTTCCTGGCTTGCTTCCCATGGCTTGCTTGGCCTGCTTTCCTATCCAACCCAGGATTACCTGCCCAGCCAAGTAGGCCGAGCCCCCCACACCAATCTCTGATCATGAAAATGCCCCCCACAGACTTGCCTAGAGGCCTATCTGATGGAGGCGGTTTCTCAACTGAGGTTCCTTTTCTCCAAGGACTCTATGCCGTGTCAGGTTGACACACACCCCAAAACCTACCCAGCACATACCTTAAAACTTTCTCATTTGGGTGAGGATAGAATATACTATCACTATAGCAATAATTTTTAGTCTCTCCATTAGGAATACTCATTAATTACTTGATCATACTATAGTACTTAAAATTTTTTATATTATGCTCCTGTTTTCATATTTCTTTTAGAAGTGTACAGTTTGCAAGAAAAATGGTGCATCAATTGGATGTGTTGTACCCCAATGTAAGCGAAGTTATCACTTGCCCTGTGGACTTCAGAAAGAATGCATTTTCCAGTTTACTGACAATTTTGCGTGAGTTATTTAACTGTTAATTAACTATTAAATATGAGGGGCTGGAATGATGACCCAGAAGTTAAGAGCACTGGCTGCTCCTCCAGAGGACCCAGTCTTAGTTCCCGGCACCAATGTGACAGCTCACATCTGTCTGAAACTTCTTAGGCCTCGGGGGCACCTAGCATACAATTGGTGTACAGATGTATATGCTGGCAAAACACCTTGTATACATTTAAATATTATTTTTTTTTTTTTTTTTGGTTTTTCGAGACAGGGTTTCTCTGTGTAGCTGTGCGCCTTTCCTGGAACTCGCTTTGGAGACCAGGCTGGCCTCGAACTCACAGAGATCCGCCTGGCTCTGCCTCCCAAGTGCTGGGATTAAAGGAGTGCGCCACCACCGCCCGGCCATTTAAATATTTTTTAACTAAATTTAAATATAAATGTTAAAGAATAATGGGAAATAGCCCAAAGTTATAATTTCCATGTAAAATTACTTTTTAAAGCTGTACTGAATTTATGCATACATATATCTTACATATGTAAGATAAACAAAATGTGTGTATATGTGTATTTGTATATAATATTGTATTATATGATTTCTTCTAGAGTTACTTCTGATAAAACTTGAATTGCCATGTCTAAAATGGACCCGAGATTATTATTTACATTCGACTTTTAGTTCTGGATATAGTATTGAACTTTTGGTTCATACTTCTGTGAAACATTTTATATTACATGGTTCACAAATTAAATTGTCCTATAAACCTGGTTAAGTTTAAAAAACAAAAGCAAATTTTGCGCTGGGATACGCCTGAGTACAACTTCAAACATGAAGATTTTGTAACTTTTGGCATTTGGTACCATGAGTGTTACTTTGAGTCTTCATGTTTCACTTATATAATGTATAGGCACCATGGAAAACATTAGCAAATACAAAGGAAATAAAGTCTATCAGGAATAGATTGTTATTTGCTTTTGACTCTTCACTTGATGGGGATGTTAAATTCCCTCTCTATTACGTTATGTGATGTTAAGGACAGTAATGCTTACTTAGTACAAGTGTGAATATGATCTTTAATAACAGAAATAGTGATACTAGTTATTGAATGTCTATATGAAGTAAGTTTATATCTCAAAGTACTCACTTTTCCTTGATTACAGTTTGTTAGACTATAGGGCCCACATTTCTTTTAGATGCATTTGTGAATCAGAAGGGAATTTTCTTTTAAGTCTGTAATTACAATGTTAACTGAATTGTATTTTTCCTTTCCTTATATGTTCTTAAATAATTTCCATTTTCAGGTCATTTTGCTGGAAACATCGTCCGGTTCAAGCAATTACATCTAAGTTTAGAGACTCTTTACCATGTACCATCTGTTTAGAGTTTATTGAACCCATTCCTTCTTACAACATACTGCAAAGCCCCTGCTGTAAGAACGCCTGGTTTCACAGAGACTGTTTACAGGTAATAGAGCTTGGTAATTTTTGCCTCCATAATATAAAATCTGTTGCTTGCTAACTTGAATTTTAACCTGGTGTCAGTGCAATATAGATTATCATAAATACCAGTGTTCCTCTCTAAGAGCCTAGTTTACTCTCGGGACTTCTTTCCTCACTTTCCCTGAATAAATCCGTGTTTTCTCCACTCAAACCAAAAGTATCATAAAAACCAGAAACGAGGCCAGGGATGTAGTTCAGTGATAGATGGTTTGTCTAGAGTGATACGAGGCCCTGGGTTTAATGCCCACGGCAGGCAAGCAGAAGACTAAACACTCGACGTAGTTGAATGTCTTTATCTGGAAAATGTTCAGATCATTGGAAGGAGATCCCAATCATTAGTTTTGAACATGTAATATAGAAGTTGGGAGTGCTATTAGACAAAATAGACAAAAACCATGCCAAATAACAGAAATTTACTTTTTAAAAATTGATTTATAAAGCTTAGATTTTATTTAATAAAGTGAAATGTTTCTGATTATTAATTGTTCACAAACTTTTTGAAAGTTTTTAGGTGTTAAATTACCTCCTATTTCCAAAAAGACATAAAAGTACTAGCAGCAATGAGGTGCTGAAGCCTGCCTGATTTCTGCTTTGTTGTTGTTGTTGTTGTTTTGGTTTTGGTTTCTGTTTTCCGAGGCAGGGTTTCTCTGTGTAGCTTTTTTTGGAGCCTGTCCTGGAACTCCCTCGGTAGACCAGGCTGGCCTTGAACTCAGAGATCCACCGGCTCTGCTTCCCGAGTGCTGGGATTAAAGGCGTGCGCCACCACTGCACAGCGGCTTTTTTTTTTTTTTTAATATAGTCTCTTGAACGTATATACTTAGGTTATTCAGTTAAAAGTAGTAAATTGGAGCCTATTTTGTTGGAAATGTTTGTAATTTTGTTAATTCTCGAATAGAAGTGTGTTAGTACCAGAAAGTATAGTTAATAAACATTATCATGAAGTGCAATTCTTACTATTGAAGAAATTCATTTTATGTGAGAGACTTCCCCCATTCCCTGAGACAGGGTTTCTCTGTGTGGTTTTGGTTTCCTGTCCTGGATCTCGCTCTGTAGACCAGGCTGGCCTCCAACTCTTAAAAAGTATTTTTTATTTAGGTTTGTATTTAGGTGACATTAATTATTGACAAGTGTGTTTTAATTTTGTAAAGATTTGCTTTGTATCTGTTAGTAATAAAGCAAAAAGTTCTTCGATTTGAGCTAATGTTTACGTGAGTTTTAATAAGCACTTTGAAAACTAGAAGCACTGGGCTGGGATCTATCTTGCTTTAGAGTGCCACCCCCCCACCCCACCCCCCACTACTCTGTGGAGAGAGCTGAGACAGACCCTAGAGATAATGCTGCTAACAAAAAACTTAGTGCTGTTTTTAAAAACATTTAATTTAGACTTCTCTCCACATAGAAACTTGACTATTATATGCCAATAAACAGTTGCTGTAATTTATTAGAGCACACTAACTCCTGTCACTTTCTCTAACAGGATCTATAGAGACTTCCACTCTTGATTCCAGAATCTAAAAATCAGAAATATACCCTCTAGCTCACAGTGTGTGGTTAAGCAATATTCTTTCGAACTACCTGGATTACTACATACAGAAACTTTGTGAGGACAGACTAGACATTAAATGAAAAGAATAGTGTTTACACAGTTTGGATTTCTCCATCGGTCTCGGTGTCCGGACATGTTCTGTTCTAGCCGGTCGGTTTGTCTCTGGGTTTCTGTGCTTTCCTTTGCTACCAGGTGCTTCTCTGTATCTCAGATCCCATGATTGGTGAGATTGCATCTCTCTGTCGTTTCCTGTGTGTGTACCGTGTGCCAGGAGTCCGAGCCTGTGTGTGTACCGCGTGCCAGGAGTCCCAGCCTGCAGTCCTCTCCTTCACCATCCATCCACTGTCTCTCTCTAAACTACTAATTGTTAGAGATACCTTATTTCCTGTCAGTTATGCTCTCCTTGAAGCTTCTCTTTTTCTGGATTTAATCCACCTCTGTAGTCTTATTGTTTAGTTCAGTTTGGTCAGAATGTCCTATCAAAATATATTATTAATTATAGTTTTCCTAATTATGTGTTCTCTGTCTTGCCATGGAGACTTCCCTTAAAATGTCTTTCATCCTTCTTTCTTGGCACACATCTACTTCTAAAACTTAGCTTTTTCCTCACTGTCTCTGACAATATTTTATTATAATCAGTGGGTTTTCTCTCTTTATTCCATGTCTATTCTTTTAAAAAAAACAAAACAGGACTTACAAAGCCAGGCATGGCAGCCCTGGTCTTTAACCTCAGCCTGGACCATTGTGGAACATTAGTGAAAGGCATCAGAGATGGACGGGTTCTTGGAACTCACTGGAAAGTCAGTCTAGCTGAGTAGGTGGATCCTGGCTTCAGTGACTGACCCTGTCTCAAAATAATTAAGTGAAAAGACTGACATCAGCCTCTGGCCTCCACATGCACACCCATACACCCCGATGTACACACAGGTACACATGTACGCAGATAACACTTTTACATGATACTGCAAGTTGTGTGCTTACTCACTGGAATTCAGAGTTTACTAGTGTTATTACACAGCATTGTTTGTCATCTAGAAAGTAGAACTTAAGTGAATATGTATTGCTAGTTTTGGGGGAGGACTCTAGACTGTGTAGTTTTGTTTTGTTTTTTTTCTTTAAAGATTTATTTATTATGTATACAGTGTTCTGACTGTATGATTGCCTGCAGGCCTGAAGAGGGCACCAGATAGTTGTGAGCCACCATATGGGTGCTGGGAATTGAACTCAGGTCCTCTGGAAGAGCAGCCAGTGCTCTTAACCGCTGAGCCATCTCTCCAGCCCAACTATATAGTTTCTTATATCCCACTGAATGTCCTCTGTGGCTTCTGGTTGTGTATTTGCTATATAGCACTGATAAAACATTCAGTATTTTTCTTTTGGGGGTAAAATCAAAATTGAGTTAAAAACAGAAATAATAATATTTATATAACAATAAACATCTATTCAAATACTGAAGATTTCCATTGCTTCTCCTTATTCTGTGGGGTGTGGACTACACAGATGGAGGAGGGTCTAGCCTACTGTTGACAGGAGCTACCCCATGAAGGTTTGTCCTGGGTAGTACAAGAATAGTTTCAGATCCTGAGCTGGAAGCTCCTACTCTCTGCTCCAGGCTCCTGCCCTGAGTTTCTTCCCTCAGTGATGTCCTAGGAACTGTAAGACAAAATCAACTCCTTTCTCCCGAAGTTGTAAGACAAAATCAACTCCTTTCTCCGGAAGTTGTAATACAAAATCAACTCCTTTCTCCCGAAGTTGTAAGACAGAATCAACTCCTTTCTCCCGAAGTTGTAAGACAAAATCAACTCCTTTCTCCCGAAGTTGTAAGACAGAATCAACTCCTTTCTCCCGAAGTTGTAAGACAAAATTAACTCCTTTCTCCCGAAGTTGTTTCACCCATGTTTTCTCATAGCAGCAGAAAGCCAACTAGAGCAGTATTCAATCTGAGACAGTAAATCAGTGACTGCCGCAAGGTCCAGAATTCTGTGTTCATGAGATGTTTTCACACAGAAGACAGGCTGTCCGTGTTTCGGGGACTGCTTATAGTTCTAGGAGCCATTGGCACAGAGAGGGAAAGACAGCATATGTTCTGTTAGTTATATAATTCACAACCTGATGAAAGATGCATTGCTAACAATAGATTTTCCGTTTTCTGCTGTAGGTGCAAGCAATAAATGCAGGAGTGTATTTCTTTAGGTGTACACTATGCAATAATACCGACATCTTTCAGAAAGAGATGTTGAGAATGGGAATTCATATTCCTGAAAAGTGAGTAACATTTGGCTTTTTGACCAAAAAGCATTTAACTATAGTATTTAGTAATATTAAAAATAATAATTTATGCCTTAATAGTGATGGTGGCTAAGTAGCCATGTCACGCGGTCGAGCGCCTGCTCCCAGAACAGGCACTGAGATGTCACTGTCTCGTTAGCTGATGTGTCTCTCAGTAACTCAGTTAAGTCTAGTTCTGGTTGATTTGTATAGCATCTTTAAGTTGGTATTCCTGGATGATCTAAGACAGACTAAATAGGTTTAAAATGAAAAAGAAGAATTTTAGTAATGCCAGAAGATGAGAAATCCCAAGTAGTGGTTCTAAGCTTGAAAGTAAACATTGGGTCCCAGTCCTTGGGAGGCTTAAGGTGTGCAGGACAACATGGGCTGTGAAGTGAGTCTCAGGTTTGCCTGGACTACAGTCTTGGGTCAGGGAGAGAGCAAAAGAAACATTAAAACAAACACACTTAATAATCCCAGCACTTGAGAAACTGGGGAGAGGAACTTGAGCTTGAAGCTAGCCTAGGGTACAACAACAAAAATTGGAAATGAAGTACTAGAAAAATGAAGGTTTTAAAAAATTTCTGTTCAACTTTTCACTTAGTGTTTGAATGTTAACTGTGAAACTGACTTTAAGGTAAAGTAACAATGGATTTCTATGTTGAAAAGAACAGCCTAAAAAGGCTTTGTCATTGTTTCTAAATTATCAGCTCTGTTAGACCAACTCGCTTTTTCTATCTTACTTCATTGTAGAGATGCATCCTGGGAATTAGAAGAAAATGCCTATGAAGAACTGCTGCAGAGCCATGACCGTTGTGACGTTCGAAGATGTCACTGCAAAGAAGGGCGAGACTATAATGAACCGAATAGGTATTTCTGCAAGTTGTGTGGTGTTTAGTTGGTCCTTACTAACACGGTAGGGTTTCTACATAATGAAATAGAGTTTTCCTCTTCGGGTGTTGGAAGTTTTAACTTGAGATGAAGTATGTTTCTTACTAAGCGTGTATGTTTACAGAGAAATTTCTGTAGTCAACATAGTAACCTTATTTGGGGAAATTTTCACGAGGCTATTCCAAGTTGAGAGGTGCTATTAATGTAAATTACACACAGCTCCTATAACAAAGCGCTGGAGACTGGGTGGTACTTTAGGGCTAGAAATCCAAGACCTAGGGACCTATGGCTTTTGCTTTCTTCAGAAGCTTTGCGAGGAGGTGATGGTAGGTGACACCTCCTCACTGTTTCTTCACGGTTGTTACTGTTACCTGTGCTGATGTAGTCTCCCTTAACACAGGAGGCTTCGGGTGCAGGAGACTTGTTTTGCATGAAGTGAGTCTCCTGTATAGCTCCTGCCTGTGAAGAATCACTGAGCACTGGCCAGCTTTGAAGCTTCCTGTATATCCCAGGCCCCTAAGCTGCATCTACTATTTGAGATTGCTGTCACTTTTGCCTTTTCTCTTGGGACACACAAAGCTGTTACTTGGATGCTTGCTTTATAATTGTTTGCCTTTCATCCCAATAAGACCAAGGTAGTGTTGGTAAAAGGCACCTTAGTGTAGTATGTAGCATGGGTCTGAAGCCAAGGTAGCCTGGGTTGGAAACTTCCCTCTAAGGCATACAGGCATATAAGCTCAGGGAAATTAGCCCTCTGTGGTGAGTTTCCTCTTAAAGACTATGCATAGTAGTGGCTTTTTCCACTTTCAAAATTGTAAACACCTAACATTGTATGTAAGGAATGTAAAGGGGGCCTGGAATGTCACAAACACTTACTTTAGCTGCCATCTTCCTCACTGTGAGTGAGTAGAACTGGTTTGTGGAGGCAGGGGGTGGGGTCAGGCACCTATGACCAGATGCTCACACATGCAAGTGTAGGCCCCTACGCCCTATCCATTCACACTCTCAGGAGGAAGAGGCCCACACAGCCAGCTGTTGGAAAAACAGCTACCCGACTTGCCACCCATGTTTCCACATATTTAGGGAATATATTTGTTTCTGTACAAAAGATTGTGTCCTTATTCCCTCACAATGTGGAAGAAGCTTCACATGTAACACCGTTATGGCATACTGTGTGCTGGCCTGTTTCATGTCAACCTGACACAAGCTAATCCTCTGAGAAAACGCCTCCATGAGATCCATCTGTAGGGCATTTTCTTAGTGATTGACAGGGAGGGCCCACCATTGTGGGTAGTACCATCCCTGGCCCGGTGGTCCTGAGTTCTATAAGAAAGCAGGCTGAGCAAGCCAGTACGCAGCACTCCTCCATGGCCCCAGGTTCCTGCCCTGTGTTCTTTCAGTGATAGTCCTATAAACACTTTCCTCCCCAAGTTACTTTTGGTCTTGGTGTTTTATCATAGCAGTGGAAACCCTAATACACACACCTATATGGAAATGTCTATGGATTGTCATATCACAGGTCACAATGGGAGACAAGAAGAGAGGCGTAGAGATAACAGAAAATATGAATATGAGCCAGGAACAAACTCTAGATTTGACTGCATTACACAGCACCTGAAATGTTTTTTATTGTTTTGGTTTTGGAAATACTGCATACCTTTGTACTGCAAATTGTGTATCAGACATAGTGAACAGTAGTCTCTCTCTGAATGTAATCTATCTCCAAATGTTAAGGAAAATGTTTTTCTCCTTATCATAAACCTTTCTGATACTTACATGCTTTGTTTATATGTATCTATCAGTATACATTTAGGTTTTTAAGATCAGGATTTTAGAGGAAGAGATTATAAACATTAAACGAAAGAGGGAAGATACTTTAGAGTCAGATGTGATATGGCATTCCTAGAATCCCAGCACTTGGGAGGACAAGGTAGCAAGATCACTGGCTAATGGCCAGCATGGGCTGCACAGTGACTCCAGGCCAACCTGGAGTACCTAGCTAGACCTGGCCTAAGTCATTCAGTACTTTAGTGGGGGAAATTCGATATTGAAGGCGTACGTAGTCTTTTCCTTCCTCTGGAAGGTTGGTGTGGTGTATGAAGGCCTGGACGTTAGGTGGTGATCTGAATGCCTCGCACTCACAGAACATGCAGATATACTTTTCTTTATGTCCGCAGCAAATGGGAAGTAAAGCGCTGTCACTGTTGCGGATCGAGTGGAACCCACTTAGCCTGCTCCTCCCTACAGTCATGTGAACAAAACTGGGAGTGTTTGGACTGTAGAAGAATCAGCTACAATCCAGGTAATAGTTTGTAATTTTGACCAAAGTTGCTTTTGTTTAAGTGCATGTTGTTGAAAATGTTTACCTATGTTTCTGTTAAGCTAACCTCGGGATTTAAATATGTAGATTTCCGAAAGGCCTCCAAACACCCATTAGCCAACTCTACTAATGTGACAGTTACTGATTGCCTGTTGGAAGAGTCCTCACCTAAGCTCCCCAGACAGTCACCTGGAGCCCAGCATAAAGAATTACTGAGGTATGTTTTTTGATTTTAGAAAAATAGAAAAATCACTTTGAAAAAAATTAATGATGTCAGATGCCACACACACTTAGGATATTAGCTGATCATACAGTTGTTGAGAAGAATGAGTTTTCAAACTGGAGGACCCAACATGGGATGTATGAAGTCAAGGAAAGGTGGGAGGAAACAGAATAGCTTGGCATGGTCACATACCAGTAGTCTTAGCTACATAATGAATTTGAGACCAGCCTGGGTTACATGTGAACATGTATATATCATAAAGAAAAGGAGGAGGGGAGGAGGGAGGAAAGGGGGGAAAAACAAGAAAGCAAGGTATCAGGCTACATTAATCAATTACAGTATTTTTCTTCTTTTATACTGAGTCATATAAAGTAATTTTAAAGATATAACATCCTGGAAAATATCTTTACAACATTATTCAATTACAGAGTAAAGCAAGAGGTTCAATTATCAACCATACCGTGTCCCTCTATAAAAGAGTCCTGTTTAGTACAAAGGTTGGTTTCTTGATATTATAGCCATTGTTTACTTTATATATAGTTAATGTCAAGATCCTTAAGTGAATAATTGCTCCTTACAAATTCAACTAAAAAACTCTTTATAATAATTTGTTACTTTTATATTAAAATTATTCATTGTCTTAAGTTCATATAGTTTGAAAATAATTTTAATATTTAGTTTTCCAAAGATGTTGCATTAGAGAAACTTGGCTGCTTGTTTCTGTTTTAGCATCCAGTCATATGCTTGAAGAGCATCCTTGACATTCCCAAGGAGCAAGGAGTCAACTGCTCTAAGAAAATGTGGCTGCAATGTGTGGGGGAGGACAGTGTGACAGATGAGTCATGTACATGAGTACATTAAGTTCTACCTACAGATGGAAACCCTGGGGCAGAAAGAAGTTAAGCTAACTCATGTGCTTCCCGTGGATGCTAATACACAGAGGTTCTGATTGTGCAGATGGGGCTCAAGGATTTGCATTTGTAACTAGTTCATAGGTGAAGCTGTTAGTCTAGACTAAAAGATATTTAAGGGAATGTGAGTTTTGTTAATAATATTAGTTGTATTATCAGTTATAGCTGTGCTGTTGAAAATACATTATTGATACAATTGAGTTGTTTTAGCTATTGGCTGGGAAGTGAAAATTTGAACTTCATACCCTTAAACTTGAATCCACTGAATTAGACATTCAAATAATCTTCCGTATTCTTGCAAATGATTATAAGTTGGTAGAAGATTAGATTGGGGGAATTTTATTTTGTTTGTTTTGTTTTGTTTTGTTTTGTTTTTCCGAGACAGGGTTTCTCTGTGTAGTTTTGGTGCCTGTCCTGGATCTTGCTCTGTAGACCAGGCTGGCCTTGAACTCACAGAGCTCCACCTGGCTCTGCCTCCCAAATGCTGGGATTAACGGCATGCGCCACCACCGCCCTGCGATTGGGGGAATTTTAAAGCAGATAAACAGGTAAATGTTTTTGGTTTTGGTTCCAGTATCATCAAAAGACTATCTTTTTAAGTTAAAAACAGAACATATAAAAACAAAAAGAACTACTACAGTAATGCTGTATAACTGTTATTCACATAAACTACTTTAAAGTAATGTTCTTTATTTGAATTTGTGTTTTCTAGGCAAGGCAACAAATTTAGGAGAGACATTTCAACAATATTGGTAGAGTTAGGAGTCCAAATTAAAAAGAAAGCTAAGAGATTATACATTAACAAAGCCAATGTGTGGAAGAGTGCCTTAGAGCAGTTCCAGAGTCAGAAGTTTAACCCTTCATGCACCATTGAAGTAGTATATGTTAATGAAAATGATAAATTTGGAAGAGAGCATCCTGGATCAAAGCAGGAATTTCTGAGTCACTTAATGCAACATCTTGAGACTTCACCTTTGTTTGAAGGGCCTTTGTCAAAGAACTTGACTCTAAATTCTCAAGGTAATTATTATTATACATCCTGAAGATAGCATGTCTCGCCAAAACTAGATAGTTGGTTATGGTTAAGATTCTTTAAGTATATCTGGAATAAATAATTTGCATTTGTTGATGAATGAGAATTTGATATTTTAAAAAGTTAAGATTTAAGAATATCTGGGGTGGAGAAATAGCTTAGTGATTAAGAATGCTTCCTGTGCTTACAGAGGACTCAAGTTTGATTTCTAGCACCCACATCAAGCAGCTCATAACTACCTGTAACTCCAGCTTTAGGGCATCCAACACCTATGCCCCCCATGGGCACCTGGCACTTTTGCACACACATAGACAACACACAAAGTAATTCTTACATCTGTATTATAGCAGTCTGCTTAATGATTTCACAATTAAATATGCTAATTTTGGACTTTATTCTTTTGAATATCATTTGACTAGCATCACCAAATGAAATGGATAAATTATTTGGGCTCTTGTTCATTCTTTTTGGTTTTTTGAGACAAGGTTTCTCTGTGTAGCTTTGGCTGTCCTGGACTTTCTCTGTAGAGCAGGCTGGTCTCAAATTCAGAGATCAGTCTGCCTCTGCCTCCCAAGTGTAGCCACCACAACTAGCCTTTGTTCATTCTTATACTTAAGCTGTGTGTGTGTGTGTGTGTGTGTTTACAACATGGAATTTGTGTTTAGTTTGTTTTATGATTCATGTGTAACTTTTTTTTTTTAAATGCAGTAAGGCTTAGCCCAGGGTCTTGGAAATGCAACACAAATGTGGGGCCACTGTCCTGGAGTCGACTCTTTTATATGTATTTTGTATACAAGGTTTTCCCTCCTTTTTTTTTTTTTTTTTTTTTTCCTTCTTTTCAAGACAGGGTTTCTCTGTGTAGCCCTGGCTGTCCTGGAACTCACTCTGTAGACCAGGCTGACCTCGAACTCAGAGATCTGCCTGCCTCTGCCCCCATTGTGCTGGGATTTAAGGTTTTCCTTTAAAAATTAACAACAGGTAATTCAGTATTCTTAGGAGTTTTTTTCCTATAACAAGGACATTGAAAAGGAGTAAGAAGATTTATTAGATTTGAGTTTCTTCCTTTATCATTGCCTGAAGCATGATGTTTTTTTTTATTTATAGTATAAACAGTTTAGTCCCCTTCCCCCCCCCCAAACTCTCCCAAATAATTAGTCATGTTAACTCAGGGTAGTGGTGGCACAGTGGAAGGCGCAGAGATGTAAGCTATGAAACCTGAGCTCAAGTCTGCGTCTGTCTATCTACCTAGTGGCTTTCCTTTCTATTACCCTCCCTGGACATACGTCTTTTTTTTTCCAGCTGTAAACTGTAGCTTCAAATTGGATTATTGTTGAAGATAGAATATTTTAAATATTACTTGTTAATAAATTGTTTTGAAGAACTAGTATAAGTAGAAACTAACGTTTACATATCTTCCTCAACCATCATCGTTGGTAAAATATTGTGAATAAGTTTTAAAAGAAGTACTTAAAGCTGTGAGTGTGTGGTATGGTAGCATAGAGTGTTGGGAGTAAATCTCCCTTGTTCTGATTCACTAGTACCATATGTATGAACTAATCTGATCAGATCATGAATTTGAACAAGAATATGTAAACAGATAGTGATTACAACATTATGTCTTACAGTTAAAATGTCACATAACCTGGATAGCCAGGAGTAAGGGGTGCTTTGTACTTCAGTGTATTCTAGTCTCATGCATCTGTAGTTTTTAACTAATTCAAGTTTGAGAAAATTTTACAGTATTGCAGAACCCAACTATGTATATATTTATTTAATGGCAGATAAAAATAAGCCAGAGGATTTACATTTATTGTGATACAACTCATTATAGTTACAATTTTAAAGATTTTATTTATTTTTTTTTTCATGTGAATGAGTATTTTGCTTGCATGTATGTTTGTGCACGACTTGTGTGCCTGGTGCCTTCAAAGGTCAGAAAAGGGTGCCAGGTTGCTTGGACCTGGAGTTAAGAGTTGATTGCGAGCCACCATGGGTGCTGGAAAGTAAAGTCATGTTCTCTGCAAGTGCCAAGCCATCACTCCAGCCTCTGGTTATCGGGATTTTATTTTCCCATAGATTGACATTTTTGTTCTATAATAGGATATGTATATCCAGGGAGAAGCTTTTCAGTAGACTTCTAGGATGTCTGGGATGGTTGCTTCTTATGGTTATTTTATCAATGTTTAGATTTTTAAGTTAATTTTTAGCTCTATATGTCTTCATTGTAAATGATGGTTAATTTAGATACTCAGTTTATTTTCATCTGTATTTACAGCTCTGCAAGAGAACCTTTACTATGAAGCTGGCAAAATGCTTGCCGTTTCTTTAGTTCATGGCGGCCCTGCACCTGGTTTCTTCTCTGAAACGTTGTTTAACTGTCTTGCTTATGGACCAGAAAATACCCTTCCAATATTAGATGATGTTTCAGACTTTGATGTGGCACAAATTATAATCAAGGTAAGAAAAATAATCTATTTATTAAAATGTGAATTACATTCCAGCTGCATTTTAATATAAGTGATAGCTGTGGTATGTTTACCCAAAGGGTTCAGAACCAAGTCAGAAACCAGTCTAGCTGGGCATGGTTGAACATGTTTATACAAACCTCACCATTTAAGAGTTCAAGGCCTGCAGCAGCCAGAAGAAGACATCTGATCCCCTGAAGCTGTGCGTGCCACCCGATTTGTTTGCTGGGAACAGATCACCAGTCCTGAAAGAGCAACATGTGCTCTTTTCTTCTGAGCCATCTCTGTACCTACCCTTTGTAAATTTTAGAATCGATTTGTCAAGCCCAACATGCTTTTATTTTTACTTATTATATGTGTGTGTTGCGTGCCTGTCATGGCTCACATTTGGAGGTATGAAGACAATGCAGCTTTCAGCAATCAGTTCTCTCCCTCTACTCTGGAACCCAGGGAGGAATTCAGGTCTTCATCCTTGTGTGGCCAAGGATTTTACCTGCTGAGTCATCTTGACAGCACACTAATATGTTTTATAAGACAAAAGCTAATTCCTTCTCCCAGTCCAAAGATTTTCCTTGCTTTTTCCAGAGACATTTTTATTTATAAGAAAAGAGATCATTTTCATTCTTTCTTACTGTATTTTCCCAAGTATATCCAAAGTTACCATTATATAAAAGTGGCAATCTGACTTTCATTGTTTCTAATGTGACTATTATATCAAACTCAAATTTGTATTCTAATATATCTACCAATTCTTCCAATTCATGAAATACTATGTGTACTGAACTGTTTTATCATTGAAGACAGGATACTGAATGAATAAATATCTTAACCTCTGAATTTAAGTTTTAGAAAAAGCACAGAAGATGAATGTTACTATACTATACGGCCATGGAGTTAGACAATGTTTCAGTTATATATAAGAAAATATAGATGTTTAATGTTTTAAAATGTTTTAATGTTTTAAACATTGTAAAATGTTTAAAATCTGTTTTCTTGGGTTGTAGAGTAGGAACTAGCAAATTATAGCCTGTAGGATTCGTTGGATGTGGCATGTGTTCATGCCATAGTGCACATGTGGATGTCAGAAGGCAACCTGTGGGTGTTGATTTTTCTCTTTCCATCATGTGATTTCCAGGATCGAAAAGGACCTCTAATATATTTCTTGGCATAATTTTATTCTACCCTGTTGTACTGAAGAGTTGACTATAGGGCTGGAGAAATGGTTCAGCAGTTAAGAGTGCAGACTGTGGCTTGGAACAATGCTGAACGCCTTCAATCCCAGCTCTTGGGGGACAGAGGCAGGCGGATCCTATAACTCCTGGTCAGCCTAGTCTGCATAGAGAATTCCACACCAGCCAAAGAACTGCAGTTAGACACTGCCTCAAAAGACACAAAAAGAGATGGTGCTGCTTTTGGCAGTAGACCCAAATCATTCCCAGCACCCATGGCAGGTAGCCCACAACCACTTGAAACTCCAGATCCTATAGGCACCTGCATTCACAAGCACAAACCCACACACATACACGTTTTCTAAAAATGGAGTATAAAATATGTATCCATCTGAATTGTAGCTATCACTCGGAATAAATGGGTGAGGGGGCCCGACGTGCTTCTTCCCTTGTGTTACAGATAAACACCGCAGCTAATTTGAACAGTTTGAACTCAGTAATAAACGAATGCTATAGCTACCTAGAAGTTATTGGATGCTTAAGACTTATAACGACATTGAGTGATAAATATATGTTGGTAAAAGACATCCTTTTCTACCATGTAATTAAGAGAGTCCAAGCACCCTTTGAGAGGTAAGCCGTTTGTTTCTATGTTCAAGAGTCTCTCAAATTACATTTAAAGTGGTTATTTGGTAATAAATACAAATGTTTAATTTCCGAGACTGTTAATGCGATTTAAAATAATACTTTAAAGCTTAACCTCCCACCAGAAGTCCTATTCTAATTCTGTTTAGAATTACATGGAATGTGTTTTTCAAGGAGAAAATAATCAGCACTTCAATTAGTTGTGATTTTTCTAATGAGAACTCACTTAAAAGCTGTATCCAATTGACTGCGGTCTCTACTCGTGCATGTAACCACTATTGAGCTCATCTCCTCTGCTGGTAGACTAGGCTGGCCCCTATCTCAGATCCTCCTGCCTCTGCTGGGATTATTTGTGTGCTTCCACACTTGGCCGAACTTCCTTTTTTTTTTTCCTTAATTTATTCTTCTCTCAATAATCCTGATTGCAGTTTCCCCTCCCCTCTGTCTCCTCTTCCCTGTCCCTCGCCACCATCTCCCCTCTCCCCCAGATCTACTCCTCCTCCTTTTCCTTCAGTAAAGAACAGGCCTCCCAGAGATCTCAACCAAACGTGGTATAACAAGTTACAAAAGACTGAGTACACATCCCCTATCAAGGCTGGACAAGACAACTCAGTAGGAGGAGAAGGGTCCCAAGAGCAGGCAAGAGTCAGAGACAGCCCCTGCTACCACCGTAACTATAACATATATGCAAGGGAACTAGCTCAGGCATATTCAGTCTCTGTGAGCCCTGGTTAGTTGATTTTGTGGGTTTTCTAGTGGTGTCCTTGACCCCCTCTGGCTCCTACAATCCTTCCTCTCTTTCACAGGATTCCCCGAGCTCTGCCTAACATTTGCTGGGTGAAGCCTCTCTGATATTTATGCTAGATTCTGGTCTATGACTGTAGTAGAATATCATTAGGAATCATACCCACTGTCTTTTTTTTTTTTTCCAGTTGTGTTTGGTTCTATCCTAGGTCTCTGGACTATTTGACCTTTGGTTTCTGGCCCTCCAGGCAGGGTCAGGCATTGGCTCCTAATCCTGGTGTTGGTCTCAAGTTAGACCAGTCATTGGGTGGCCACTCTTACAAGTTCTGCGCCACCTTTATCCCTGCACATCTTGCAAGCAGGACATCTTGCAGGTCAAAGGTTATGTGGCTTCGTTGGTGTCCCAGTCCCTCCACTGGAAGCTTTGCCTGGTTATAGAAGATGGCCAGTTCAGGCTCTGTATCCTCCATTGCTAGGAGTCTTCTCTAGGCTCGCCCTTGTAGATTCCAGGGAGTTTCCGTTACACTAGGTTTCTACCTCACTTCTAAAACACCTGCCCCCAATTCCAGTTGTCTCTCACAGTATTCTCACTCTCCAACCGCCCCTACACCCTTATCCCCCATCCTGATCCCTCCTGTTTGCATCTCCACCCACCCCCTTAAAAAAATTATTATGTGGATGTTCCTGAGTGTATGTTTGAGCACCATTTCTGTACAAGAGCCCACAGAGGTCAGAAGAAGGTGTTAGATCCCCTGGAATGGGAGTTACACATGATTGTAAGCCACCGTGTGAGTACTGGGAACCAAACTCAGATCTTTTGCAAGAACAGTATGTGGGTGTGGCTATGGTAGGTGGTGTGTGTGTGTGTGTGTGTGTGTGTGTGTGTGTGTGTGTGTGTGTGTGTTTTCTCATGTGTGCTTGTGCGCATGCACGTTTGTGTGTTTACCTGTGTGTGTACCTGTATGTAGAGGCCAAAGGACAACTTCACCTCTTTTTTTGACAAAAGGGAGTCTCTCAGGCCTGGAACTCCTTCCTGGGGATCCACCTACCTCCATCTTTTTAAGAATGGGCTAACAAGAGTGCACCACAACATCCAGCTTTTTCATTTGGACTCTGGGTTAAGCATGAGGCCTGCTTGCAAGGAAACACTTTGCTGACTGAGCTCTTTCCCCAGCCCTTGAATGGCGCAAACCAATAGATACTTGTTACCATAAATATTAAGGACAGAAGTCAAAAATTCAAGTATGAGCCGGGCGGTGGTGGCGCACGCCTTTAATCCCAGCACTCGGGAGGCAGAGCCAGGCGGATCTCTGTGAGTTCGAGGCCAGCCTGGGCTACCAAGTGAGTCCCAGGAAAGGCGCAAAGCTGCACAGAGAAACCCTGTCTCGAAAAACCAAAAAAAAAAATAAAATAAAATAAAAATAAAAATTCAAGTATGAGTATGATAGAGCTTCAGCTTTTCTGAGATGTTCAGGAAAAAATTCTTTCTGAGGCATCACTTGGTTTATGGTTCTGTAACTTGGATCTCTGACTCATTCCCATTGCCTATTTAGGTGTGTCTTTTCCTAGTGTCATTGGATTAGGGCCAGCAATAACAATCTTAAACTGGATTATGTCTCTCAAAATCCTTTCCCTTAATTCTGTCTATGAGGCAGGTTTTTTTTGTTTGTTTTGTTTTGGGGTTTTTTTGTTTTGTTTTTGTTTTTGTTTTTTTTTTTTCCAAATTAAAGTACTAGGGAATAGTATAGGGAGACCAGCATGTAATTTACTTTTGAACCAGTCAGGTTTTATTCTGGCCCATTGCTATGCCAACAGTATGGAAAATGAACTGGGAAGGTTTACTCATTTGTCACATAGACCAGTTATATGTGTTTTATAATAAGGTTGTGGCCATGGTATGCTGAGAAATTTACAAAGGATTTCAGAATAGGAAACATAGGACTTGATATCTAAGAAGAAAGGAGACTTAAGGTTGATCTCAAAATTTAGCCATGCTGCGTTGAAATAATGGGACCAATTATAATTATTTGTGGCTCACATTTTGATATTATTGTCATTTGATTTCTTTGAGGCTTCTCAAAGCCTTTACCTCCCAGTACTGTTAAACTGTCAGTGGGGTTTCAGTGTCAGCGGCTATAAACATAAATTTAGAAGACAGTTTGACAACATGACTGGTTAGCAAAGTAAAAGTAGCTCCCTCCTAGGGGCTATGGCACAGAGTTTTGATCAGTTTTACAGTACCAGTCATCCTTTCTGCAGAGCAAGCCTTAAATCCAAACAAAGTGATTGGTTACCCCCAAAATAGCCTTGCCACTATGGTACCAGTGAACACATCTTGCCTGGCAGGTTAGTGTTGTGGTATGCATGGCCTAATCCTGGCTGAGACCATTGATGGTTTCTCCCTCAGCACCTTGCACAGCACCTTTGGCACTGTGAAAACTAATCAGTAGGGAGGGGAGGGCGTTGCCTGTGGGGCTAGAGATTGTGATTTCCCTGTTGCTAAGAGTCAGTGTTCATGGTGCCTCTGTCAGTAATGTTTTACCATGTAGTGGGTAGGCAACCAAGAGCAATGGCTGGAGTCACCATTTTGCAGACCTCTAAGCCACCCTACTTCCGGGAATTATTCCTAGGCTTTCCACTTCACAACCCTATTGTACTGTCAAACCATGCAAGGCAGTATTTATCACTTTGAATAAAACAGTTTCAAAACCAGTGATGTAAAATAATCATTAATACATTTCTTGTTGATTTAAAAGTATATCCTAGTATTTTATCTCATATCTTAATGCATGTAATAGTTTTTGTTGGACTGTTTTTTCAATCAGCTATTTATAAAATGCCAGATAAATTTCCTATACAATACACGTCTGTATATTGACTCATTGTTTCTCTTCTCAAGTTTTAAGCAGGGTCTGAAAACGCTTGGTGTTTTAGAGAAAATTCAAACTTACCCAGAAGTATTTTATAACATCCTTTGTCATAAACCTGAGAATCTTTCTGCAAAAATCCTTAGTGATCTTTTCACAATCCAGGGATTACCAGATGTACAAGCTTTGAGGTTTTGGAACAGTTACTTACAGGCTATAGAAGGTATGTGGATTCTTTTCAGTATATTTACTAGGTTTTTTGCTCTTGCCAATAAGAAAACTTAAATCTGTTGTTTGTATTTACAAAGGAAACAAGTTACCCAGCATACTTATATCATAAATGTGTGTGTGTGTGTGTGTGTGTGTGTGTGTGTGTGTGTGTGTGTGTGTAAGAAGGAAAGCAATTTTCTTGAAAAAAAAAAAAACTTAAAAAAAAATAACTAAAGCCTTAAATATGGATGTTAGTACCAGCAAAGAGCAGGTGTAAGGCTGATTTCTACTTCATCCTTTTAAAATCAACTGATTATTCTGTATCTACTTTATTCACTACTCAATTAGTATTTGTTAATAAATATTAATTATATTGTTTCTTTTTTTTTTTTTTTTTTTTTGTTTTGTTTTTGTTTTTTGGTTTTTCGAGACAGGGTTTCTCTGTGTAGCTTTGCGCCTTTCCTGGATCTCGCTCTGTAGACCAGGCTGGCCTCGAACTCACAAAGATCCGCCTGCCTCTGCCTCCCGAGTGCTGGGATTAAAGGCGTGCGCCACCACCGCCCGGCCTTGTTTCATTTTTTTTTTTTTTTTTTTTTTTTTTTTTTTTTTTTTTTTTTTGGTTTTTCGAGACAGGGTTTCTCTGTGTAGCTTTGCGCCTTTCCTGGAACTCGCTTTGGAGACCAGGCTGGCCTCGAACTCACAGAGATCCGCCTGGCTCTGCCTCCCGAGTGCTGGGATTAAAGGCGTGCGCCACCACCGCCCGGCATTGTTTCATTTTTTTAAAAGAGAAAATTTTATCTTTCAAGTTGAAATTTTCTTGAAATTTTTGGTTTTTACCATGTACTGTTTTCAGCATTTGTTAAGCTATCATATTAATTAATGATTACATAAAAGAAGGATATAATAAATAGGTAAGCTGGTTTTTTTTGTTTTGGGGTTTTTGTTGTTTTTTGTCATACATTAAGATTCACTTATTGAATGTACCGCTTAGGATACATTGTGATGTAGTTTGCCCTACATGAATGGTGGAGTCCATTCCTGCCATTGTTTTCAGTCTAGTTGGAAAGAGTCTATGCTGACAATATGTTTTGTAGATTTTTCTGTTTTCTCTAATTGCTAATGACTTTTAGTAATTGTCTCTAATTACTTTTCAGATGGTAAATCGGCAACAACAATGGAAGACATTCTTATTTTTGCAACTGGATGTAGTTCCATCCCACCTGCTGGATTTAAACCCCCTCCTTCAATTGAATGTCTACATATGGATTTTCCTGTTGGAAACAAATGTAACAACTGTTTAGCTCTACCAATCACCAACACATATAAAGAGTTTCAAGAAAATATGGATTTTGCCATAAAAGACACTCTAAGACTAGAAAAGGAAGAAGAGTCTCGATCACTCCCTTGGACATTAAAGGATTCTTCTAATGAAGAAATGCTTCTTTAAAGGCTGCTATTGATAACTGTATCTATTAATCATCACTTTTGAACATTCTGGCCAGCTTCTTGGCTCAATAAAATTTATGTCTCTCTTCTAAAGGGATGTTTTGGCTTCTGAACCACTGAGGGTTTGGTCAAGACATTCTGGTCGTATTGGGTGATAGCTTTCTGTTATTGTGCTTTCTTCATAACTTCAGTGTAAATATTCTAGAATGGTTGTGCGAACTATTCAGCTGTACAGGTGCTCAGCTATATCAGCATGACATAAGAAAACCTCTGTCCTCGCTTTTCAAATTAGATTTACCGGTATAGAATGAACGACATAGCTTTTGCAGTTTTCCATTTTTTTGTCTGTTTGTCTTTTTTTGTTATTTGTTTTTCTCTACATAGCCCTGATTGTCCTGGGACTGGCTATGTGAACAAGGCTGTCAAATTTCTATATTTTAAAGCATTAAATAGAAAAGTTGGAAAGTCATCTCATAAATCAGAGCTATGGATATGCTTTTCTATGGTTTAATTTTTAAATGTTTTTGTAATTAAGTGACCAATCCAACAATTAAATAATGACTAGCTGGAAATTCTGTATAAAAAGCAGAGCTATACAAATAACTCTGGAATTTATGGGTACTGCTGATATGTTTGCAGGTGTGCTTTTAAATGCCTTAGAAAGTACATTTTGTTCAATGTCTTGTATAGTCAGTGTGTCTCACATGTCTGAACAATCTCTGACTGTCGTGGTTTGGCTACATTACAGCTATTTATTATCAAGATCGTTGTACGATTGGTAAGATCTTACCGTAGCATTCTATATTTACTTTCTTTGCTTTCAAAAGTTACATTGTATAAGCAATAAATAATTTAAAACTACAAATAGTAAAAAAAAAAAAAACTCTAATTTTGCCACATAGATATGTGTAATGTATTTTGTATATTCTTTATAAACTATTTATTTTTCAATTTTTATTGTTTTTGTGATAGGGTCTGTCTATAGAGCCTTACCTGTTCTAAATGTGCAGTCCTCCAGCCTTAGTCACTTAGATGCTGGGGTTATGATGTGCACCAATGTTCCCAGCAATGGTTACTCTTTTGACTATATGAATAATACAAGAGTAACAGGAATCGTGTGCTTAAATCAGCTCGAGATATTTATATGTAGTCTCTAGCAGGGTATCATGGCACACACCTGCAATCCATGCTCTTGGGAGGCTAAGTCAGGAGGATCCAGAGTGACAGAGCAATTTTAAGGCCACTGTGGGCTACAAGAGACCCTGCCTTGACAAATAAGTAGAGGAGCCACCCACAGTAACGTCTTCATATTTGTGGCCTTACAAATCTAGTGCCCTAATCTATTATAAAATATAAGGAAGATGAAGCCCCAAGTTTCACTTTAAAATATCATGGGAGGTTAAGGGGGGAAAAAAAAACAGAACTGATTTGATATTGGTAATGTGCTTCTTAATGCCAAAGGAAAAAACTCAAATGTAATCATAGTATCATTTTGTCTGTTACCTCAGAACCCTTTGAGTTGTACTTAACAGAACTAATAAAGTTCCTTTTTTTTTTTTTCAGACTTGAGCATTTAGCATTAAGGCATTTCTTTATCTTGAATTACATTTTGCTGGATTTTCAAAAGTAATTAAATGATCCATCTTCGAATACTTTAAACCACAAACTCAGCAGGCAGGTTTAATTCCAAGTGTGTTGATAAGTGGGATCTTGACATCTTAACCTAGTTAGTTCTCACGTTTTAAAGGCTGTTGTGTTAGGATATGGAGCCTTGGGCTGCCTACAAGTTGTATTTCGCTGTTACTGCACTTATTGTATCTGTAACCAGGGCCTTAGTGGTAAGATGGTATCAGTAATAACATGATATTTACTTCTTAAAGTGAAACAATCCGATTGTAAAAGGTATTCTGGTTTGAAGGTTTTGTTAGCATGGACGTAGGTTAATCTTTACAATTGAGGCTTATCAGTGAAACTGCGTTACTGTGTCATAATTTTTCCTGTTCTGTGTTATAGCATAGTTCTTACATTCAATTTTAAGTACTTAGTTTCAGTATTATGAAGGAACAGTGTTGTGTTTGGTTAAGTAAAAAGCCTGCACTAGCATGGTCTCTGTTGTCCCCCTAATTATCCTGGAAGCTTTTGTTACCTGTACATTCCACGTTAAAATGCAAAGGGACATACACAGGTAAGTTTTCCCAGTGACTTGCCTTAGCATCCAGTCACACAGAAGTGGTAAGAACTAGAGTCTGTTGATAAACACAGTTACTACCACATCATTGTTATAAGGTAGTGGTTATGCTTCAGATAATGCAGTGTCAAGCATGAGAGCACAATTAATGATACATGACTTGAATGTATATTATCTGTAACTTAAGAATATTCGCAGCCCTTGAAAGAGACCCAATTTTCAATACTCATTTTGACCATTTTCAAATAACCAAATCTACTCTGATACCTACTGCACACCAAATACTGTTCTCAGAAACAGTTTGTATTTCAGTCTGTTTAAAATATAATTAAAACACATAGTGCTGAGGGTATATAGCCCAGTGATAGAGTGGTTTGCCTAGCTAGCATGTGTATGACCTTGGGTTACATCCACAGTGTCACCAAAAATTTAAGAAAAAAGGCATGAAAACTTACAATAAAGTTTCTAAATGTTTTTATGCCACCAAATGTCAAGTGCTCATATAAATTAAATAACTTACTGGAATCTTTCTTAGGGGTTGGTTACTATTGTAATGAAACACCATGACCAAAAGCAACTTGGGGAAGAAAGGGTTTATTTTGCTTACCCTTCGATATCACTGTTTGTCATTGAGGGAAGTCAAGGCAGGAACCTTTAGGCAGGAGTTGATGCAGAAGCCATGAATGATTGCTTAAGGCTTACTGACCAGCTGTCCATGGCTTTCTCATTTGCTTTCTTACAGAACCTAAGATTAACAGCCCAGGGGTGGCACCACACACAATGAGCTGGCCCTCCCCCATCAATCACTAGCTAAGAAAACACCCTTCAGGCTTGCCGACTGCCTGGTCTTATGGAGGCATTTTTTTTCAGTTGAGGATTCTTCCCCTTCGATGTCTCTACCTGTGTCAAGAATGTAATAAGGACATGATTCTTTTTTGATGCAGATATTTCTCATTTTTCCTTTTTTATTAGCATATAATTGTACAAAACAATTTATCATGACATACATGTATGTCATGAACTTTGGTCACACTCCTCCTCTTAGTACTTCATACTTAGCCCCTGCTCACTCCCACTAGTCTCAACCAAATACTCCACTTACAAGGTTAGCATTCTTATTAAAGTGGGTAAGATCCAAGATACTTTATTCTTCAAGTTTGAGAGATCGTGCAACCCTTAAGAAGTCAACTGTTCTGGGCTATTATACTATGATAAAACTATCCCCAAATGTGGTTTAATTAAGCCAAAAAATCTGGAGTCAGATATACACAACTACAGTAAATTAACATTCTGAAGCCATGATTTTTATTCTGATTGTAATAATACAAGGTAAGTATAATAAGACCAAGAGAAAATACTGGTATTTGCTTTGCAAGGACTGTTTTATATAGTTATTCTTTCGTGGGGTGTATTTTTCTTTGTTTATTCCCTACACTACACACTATTCAACAGAAACACACTGTATAAATGTTTGCATTGTCTTAGTATTTTATATTAATGTGCCATATAGTCTTGGAAGGCGTTTATGGTAGAACTTAAATGGTTAAATGGCAAATTTGTACTGAAAAGTGGGAATGCTCAGGTGACTAAAATTGAACTCACTGCAAGGTGGAAATGCCATTATGCTTCATAGTTCGTGGATGCTAGAATCCAGAATATTTTCCTTAAGGCAGAAACTGTTAATAATTTTCACTACAACACACCTAGGTTGTTGAAGCTTCCTTTAAAATATTAGTAATAGCACTGAAGAAAACCTCAATAAACATTCTATTTGATTTCCTAATGCATGTGTCAGCTATAAAATAAAAGCTTTAATTCTTGCAGAATCCTGATTCTAGGCTAATGTATTTCCTGGTGGTTTAAAAAACAAGAGCCTGTTATTTTATAAAGATAAACATATTTTTTTAATCTGTCAAATAAAGCCCATGTTTTTATTGTAAAATGTAATCTTGCCTTTAAAAAATAGAAAAAATAATTTTGTTATTTCGAAAGCCAAATTTTTGAAGGTATGATTTTTATCTCAGAATCCGATTGCTTCAGAATTAACCCTTTAATGAAATGTTATCAGTGAATTCACTGAATTGGTAATAAGTTGTATATATTTTTTGACATTAACAAAATCTATTATATAAATGGTCGATAAGGGATTTGTTTCATAATTACAGAGTTTAAAATGTACCAAACCAGGCTGTGATCATCCAGATTCTTTTCAGAATAATGTTCGTGGTTGTATTGAATTCTCACTGCCATTTGGCTCCTCCGTGATTTTTTACCCTAGCTGACCAAAACCATAAAGCTGGGTCATTTTGCTTACGAAATGAGACAGAAATTTGCAGCATTTGTAGTAAACGTTTTCAGAGAAAATAGGGAAAGGGCATTTCTGCTGTAAAGGGAATCACGAAAATGCAGTTTCCAGCGTTTCATACAGTCTTGTAATTTTTACGACGTTTTAAACCCTGTGTAAAGCGCGGTATCGATCAGACGGCTGGACCTACATCACATGTCCCCGCCCAGAGAAGCAAACCTCGGAAGGCTCGGCTGGATTGGTCGGAAGCGCTGCTGGAAAATCCGGAAACACCGACATCTGGGACGAAGAGAGAGGGCTGGACGGAGGGGGCGGGTCGGCTCCCTCTAGGCCCGCCCCCTGATTCCGCTTCCTTCCGGGGCGGGAGGGTGAGCCACGTCATCTTCAGGCACCCAGTGCCAGCCGGGCAGTGGATGGTGGGAAGCAAGATGGCGGCAACTGCCAGCATTCGGGAGAGGCAAACAGGTATTCGTTATTCCTTCTCTGCAGTTCGTACCTGAGCAGAGCAGCGATTTGTCTGTCTGTCTGTCGCCTGCGCTGGTTGTGCGTGCAGCTCGGAGTTGAGCTTCTTTAGCTGCGGCCCTTTAAAGTTGTAGGGAAGAAATGACTTGCTCTACAGCCTTTGCCTGTGGTACAAGAGAAGGAGCTTCAGTAGGCTGGTTGCTGCACTGCTACATTTCTTTTTGTTAAACTACTGAGCTTCAGGAGGCCATCCCAGCTAGGATTGGCAGCTGGTATTTTCTTTCTTATATTGCCATTTAACAAGGACTGTAGATTTGTGTTTCTCCGTATTTTAAGTCTCCCAGGCTAGCTTGGTTTTCACTTTCAGTTCTAAGGTTTTTCAAAACTGTTTCCAACATTTGCGCCGTAATTACAAAACCTAAGTATTCTTCTCAGAGCTCCTTACTTTATGCCATCTTCTTTGGACCAGTCTTGGGAGAACCTGAAGAAAAATGCCAGGTGATAATGACTTCCTTCTGCCGCTTGCTGGAAGGGACTGGAGAATGTCAAATTAGCAGCGTCCCATTTCAGTTGTTCGACAGATTAGTAATATTACAGTGGTATAATAGTTGTATCTTAAGTAGAGCATATTTGTACAACTTCCATTTATTCAGAAAATATGAAGATACATATTACTTCCCTTAGCTTCTTTTTATTATGAGATACTCCTGATTTTCCTTACTTTCCGTCAACTCTAGTAACTTGGTAATTGCATATTGGCCCCAAAATAATGATTTATACATAACTATATATATTTATAATATATATATGATTTATATATACTACTTGTTGAGAAACTATTCCAAAGAGAATAGAAATATGCTGTGAGCCATTAAGAATGTTTACACTTTAATTCTCCTGAAATTATGCTCATTTGTATGAAAAATAATTGGTTACAATCAATACAACATACTAGAAGAATTTGGACTGTACCTGATTCCTTCCCTTGTCTTAAAAAAAAAAAAAGAATTTGAGAGATTTGAATGTAGCATACTGAACAGAAAGCATACTGAAATGTGCTTTACATTTCTCAGTAGATAATTCAGTAAAACCTGTGAGACACAGTAGAGCAGTAACTTAAATGTTTTTGAAAGTCCAAATATGATTTGAGGAATGCTTGATAATTCATTTTATTTGCAAATAAATAAAAGCCCAGCTTTTCTTAACAGTTTGGGTCCAATAGCTTAATAAAACCAATGAATTAGATCTTTCTACCCATGAGCAAAACTGTTCTGGTGAAAGGGAGCCTTTTAAACGTTGAATTTATAGAATAGTACATTTTTAATATGCAAACATTGTAAAGCATTAAAATCTAATATCATATTTTGTCTTGTAGAAGAAATTCCAAACGGTCTTATTAAATAAGAAACACAGAGCCAAATACCGAGTTAAAAGCCCAAAAGATCAGAGCCTTTAGCTTACCACTCATTGCCATCCTTCCCCTGAGAGAGAGCTTCTCCTGTATGACCCGTCTTTTTATTGCTTTTCTGTTCTACCTTCTCATTGGTTTTAAACCCAACCACATGATTTCCTCATCACTGCCTGTCTATATAGACCTCCAGGTCTCTATGGTTGGTACTAGGATTAAAGGCGTGTGTTACCATGCTGGCTGTGTCCTTGAACACACAGAGACTCTGCCTGCCATGTGATTGGATTAAGGGTGTGTGCTACCACTGCCAGACTTCTAAATGGCTTGCTATTAGCTCTGATCCCCAGGCAACTTTATTTATTAACATACAAATAAAATCACATTTCAGCACAAATAAAATATCACCATATTGTCTTTTGGTGGAAATAAACTTCATTGTAGCAAGATTCCACATTACTACTATCTTACTTATGCTACAGTTATTAAGTAGTTATTAAACTGTAAGTGGATCATGCCTTATTTTCAGAAGAATAAAATTCTTTGTGTTATAACATTAGAAGTAACATGCCTTTAATCCCAGCACTCAAGAGGCAGGCGGATCTCTGTGAGTTCCAGGCCAGCCTGGTCTACATAGCAAGTTCCAGGAAAGGCGCAAAACTACACAGAGAAACCCTGTTTCGAAAAACCAAAAAAAAAAAAAAAAAAAAAAAAAGAAGAAGAAGAGTAACATTTCCTTGA